TTTCCGATGCCCTCTTCTGATCTTCAATACTTTCCACTCCATCTGCTGTAGTAGGCTTGGACAACTCTTCTGCCTCAATCATTGTCTCCTGTGTTTCTCTGAATCCGCTACCAAGGTCACCGGGACGTCCCAGCATCGATAATTTTACCTTTACCTGTTTGTCCTTGCTTGTAGAAGCTACTTGCTCTCTTCCAAATTCAGCATCAGTTTCACTCTTGATGGTAGCCTGTTCGGTTTGAATCTGCTTTTGCTCCTTCACAAGCAGGATATCTTCTGCATCCTCCAACAGGAGGCTTTCAGGTCCCATCACCACCTCCCCATTCTCCAAAGCAGTTCTGGGCAGCAGGACCTTTTCGCTTTGTTCTTTTGAAGGAGCAAATTGAAACTCAAGCTGCTGCAAAGCCAAACCATTGCAAGGCTCGCTTTCAAGAGCTGCATTTGCCTTTGTCTCCTCAAAGCCTTCACTCTCTTCCAACACATGTGCACAGGATCCATTTTCTTGGGTTTGGATGAGGGCTTTAGTGAGATTGTTCAACTCTCCATCCACTAGGAGCAGCTTCTGGCCATCATGGATGTTGATATAGCTGTGGGTCATCAAGTGGAACATCAGCCTTTCGTCGTCACTCCTTAGCAGAGGGTCACTTTGCTCTTTGTGACCTGTGGGACTCCTTCCAGAAGAGCTCTGGCCATGTCTGCTTCTGCTTGGAGAGCCAGCAAGCTGCACGCTGGCCATGACATCAGGTATGGCTGTGGATTTCAGCTTCTTTGCCACATCTCTCTCCAAGATGCCGTGTTCAACTGCTTTCTTCCAGGACAACACCTCAGTGGTTTCTGGTATAAAGACACCCTTAATGAGTTGCCTCTTGCTGAGAATCTTGTAAACCAACTCCGTAGACAGGATTCCTTGCTCTAAAGCGTCCGCAACCGGGACGATCTCCCCCGTCTCTGGCCACAGGAGCCCCATGAAGGACCACAGGGATTCCAGGACCACCAATGCAATCCTTGGTGCTACCAACTCTTTCCTTACAGCTTCGTCAATTGTCAGTCTCTCTCCCGTGACGGTATCGATGATGCCACCTGTCTGAAGCTGCCGGATAAGAAGCGTGCATGCCAAATCCTGGTCAATTAAATTATGTCTCACGGCCTCATCCACAGTCAACCTGTGCCCTGTCCTGGGGTCAACAATGCCACCAGCAAAGAGGTGGGCTTCCAGCAGCCTGACCGTCACCTGCCTGTCTATCAGCCCTTCCTGGACTGCACGGAAGATGCTGACTTTTCTGCCTGATGTCAAGCTCACCATCCCACCCGCCAGCTGCTTGACTGGGAGCAGCCTCAGCCCAGTCTCTTGGTGAGTGATGCATCGGTGCATGAGCTCGGGCAGACCGATCTTCTCAGCAGTGTTGGGGTCAATCAAATCCTTGCCACCCTCCAGGTGAGACATAAGTCTGGAATAAAGCTGGGGGGTAAGGAGCCTTTCTCGCACCGCTGTTTCCATGCTGATTCTGCCCTGAGGGACTTTAAAGCCCCCAGTGACGAGCTCAGCCTCGAGAATCTTTAGCCCAATGCTCTCACTGATCCTCCCCTCTTCTATCGCAGCAACGACAGGCAGCAGCTGCCTCCCTTCACATCTGACTTCTTCCACCCGGTGGAGAGCATCCTTCAATTCCTGCAGCACCTGGAAAGTCCTGAGATCGATGATGTTTCTTGCCAGGCCTTTCTCCAAGGAGAGTTTCTCATTGGTCTCTGGAACGATTAAGTCAGATGTGATAACCTGGGCCTCCAAGAGGACGAGGCCAGTGTCCTGATCTATCAGACCTCTCTGCATGGCACCAAAGACAGGGAATATTTCTACCGTGCCAAGATCGATCACTCCTGCCACTGCTTCGTTGCCCTAGAACAGAAAGAGAAGGAAAAGAATTAAATGAAAATCGAGCATTGCCAGCACTCAGATTGTATGAGGTCCAGGGAGGTCTCAGTTTCAAAAAAAAAAAAAAGTTTAAAAACCCTAAACAGGCTAGAAAGGAGTCCCAAAGTGTTTGAAATGCAACTCCAAAGGCGTCACAGCACGCAAATTGGTGCATTTGCTAGCTTGCACGTTGCCAGCAAGTTTTAATGCTCATCTAGTCCATCACCCAGGGCAGCACCGAGATGCTTCCAACATCCACCAACAGGAACACAGCAAAGCGGCAAGCAGCAAAACCCAGAAGTGCTCCTAATGCTCCATGGAGAAACAGAGGGAAGGAGACCAACAAGCACACCAAAGCCGTTCAACTACTCATGTTTTAAAAAGTAAAGACGACACAAATCCCACTCTGTACTCAGAGGAGAAAAACCCCCAAAGATGTCCACTTCAGGGTATCTAGAAACCTCTCCCAGTGCAGTTTCCACCCTGACTCCTGCCATGCTTAAATCCTGTGCTTCCCCAAGCAGATCTCAAGTGCCAGGACAGCCGGGGACCACCACAGAGCCCTGCGCCACGGAGCAGCTCCCCAGCCGCACAGACCGGCCATGCATCAGGGCAGGAGCGCTGCATGCGGGGCGGCTCCCCAGCACGACCACCAGCACCCACTCTGCCCCGCTCCAGCGCCTCGAAGTAGCTGTGCTCTTCAGACAGGGCAAGGGGAGAAGCGTAAGAAGTTGGAGGTCCCAGCACGGAAGCAGTGACAGACTGGGAACAGACCATCTCCTTTGGTGTTTCTGGAGGGGCTTTTCTCTTCTTGCTGGTATCCCCACAGGGAGAGTAATAACTCGGATGTCAGAGTAATGGTTCTTTGGACATTTGGGTGTCTCCCAGTCCCACTGGTTGGGTATAAGGTTGGCCCAAGCACTAAAATATTTTTGTGGGGATAGGGAGGAGGGCATCTGGATTGTGGAATGAATTCCTTTGGCATCCCCAAGACCCCTAGATTTTTTTTTTTGTCGGTGAGTCCAACAGCATGGGCGGCTGGGGGTGTTTGTAGCTGCGGCGCAGCTCAGGTACGGCACAGCAGAGGGTGCAGCCTCCGCCAGGCTGGTTTGCAGTTCCCCCGCTGCCTTCTGCTGCGGAGCCAGCAGAACCTGCTGCAAAAACCTAAGCTCTCCACCACCGTCGCCAGACTCAGGCATGCACGCTGGGAGATGAACAAGCCGTGGAAAGACAGAAGAAAGGAGAGGGGGGAAAAAAGAGAACGATAAAAAAGGAGGGAGGATGGGAGGGAAGGGAGGTAAAAGGCTTTTACTTACCCGAGTCGCAGGGTGTGCCTTGAGCAGTTAAAGACAGAGCCTTATGGAGCAGTTCAGCCGTATCACACACAGTGTAAAGCTTGGTGTTAGCGTCCAGCATGCGACTGTTTTGTTTGCAAAAAGAGCCCCCCACACAGGTCGTCCTCTTTCGCTTTGTGTGTTTTGTTTGTTTAAATCCCGGGGGGTTAGTTAAACTTGTAAGCAAGGATGTCAGTTAATCTTAAAAACAGTTGACATGAAACACAAACTGTACAGGGACACATCATGCTCAATTTAGCGCGTTCTGCTTTGCATTTTTGTCTTTTATAACTTCTCTCTGACAGTTGGATGTTTCCAGCAAGCAAATGTTAAGAGTTCCTCATGCTCCCTCTACAGTGAAGCAACTGCACCGCACCGGAGCCGCGGGGAGCGTCTCCTAGACGGGCCCGGGATCTATGGCGGAGCCCCACTGCCATCTCTCGTTTTGTTTCCTGGGCTTTGGCAAGAGCGTGAGTGAAAACTGTTCTAGCCTGAGCCCCAAAGCGTGCTCATGCTGTAGGAAAACAGCCCAGCAAGCCCTGGAGAAGGCGCTCGCTATAAAGTCATTTTCCTGCCCGGGAGGGAGGAAAAGGGAAAGGAAAAAGCCCCCTTTCCCCAGGGAGACTGCTCTCCGCCGCTCTCCTGGCAGCAGAAGCATCAAAGCCATGATGGCTTCACGGCGACTAACAAGTCCGTTTGCTCACCGTAAGCTTTCTGCTGCCAGCCCGAGGGCTAAAGGGCTTGCAATAGAAAGCATTGACCGCATTGAGACACCTGAAACGGGCTATAAAGTCCAATTTGGAGAGAAACACCATGTTTAGGTGAAAGCTGGACAGGCAGAATTCACACAAGCAGCCCTGCCGCCCTCTTCCCGTGAGCGGCTCGAACAGGGCTTCACTCACGGACCCAACGGCCAAAACCTGCGTCACGCATCCAGATCTGAGCGGGCCATTGCTTCAGAGTACAGGGAGCCAGCAAGCAAACACACAAATAAATCCATCGACACATGTATATACACTTATATAACACGTACACGTATATCTGTGAATGACCGAAGACAGCTCATAACAGAGGCAATAAGGATGCGCTTTCAGCCCTCCCTACCCAGTGAAACAAGGATGGGGACTGACGGGAGCGCTGGTGGACGGGACCAGGGAATGGGTCCAGCTACGGGGTGTGAAGGTCTCCCAGGTCAGCCGAGGGCCTGGGCGATGCAGTCGCCTTCCACGGGGGAGAGCAACTTCATTCAGCCACAGCTGAGACAAGCCAGACCCCGAGACATATGAGACCGCACGGGCAAACGCCCTTCTGCAGAAACCCACCTTCTCGCGTCTCCTGCACGCAGGCAGCCTGTGAGATGGAGCCCTCTGCGGTTAAACCACTGCGAGAGCATCCTCAGAGGACACAGATTTGCTAAGGGGACCCTTTCCAGGACAGAGGTCCATCTACACGCTTGCCCACCAAGCGTCAACAAGCCAACCCTCGTGCACAGGGCAGAGCTCTGACGAAAACCATTGCAAAGGACAACTCTCCCATTGAGCTGGAAGGCAGCAGGCAAACGGCTCCTGCTTGGCCTCCAGGGACCACCCCAGCCTGGGTGCTTCGGGTGACGCATGGACAGAAGAGAAGGGAGGGCAACCACGTGCAAGTAAGAAAGTCGATGGGCTGTGAGTGGCTGGTGGCCATGAGACACGCAACCAAGCAAAACCTTTTTTACACCCTGTGCCCGTGCAGCCACGGGACCCAGCGGGGACCAGTACCTTGTGCTCCGTCTCCTGAGCCAGCTGGCTCTGGAGCTGCTGGAGCTGCTCCGTGGAGTCGCTGCAGAGCGCCTGGTAGGTCTCCTTCAGGGCACCGATCTGAGCAGAAATCTGTTCCTTCTCTGGATGGGAAAGCCTACAAGGGGAAGGGGAAATCTCTCAGGGAAACTGCACAAACCGTCTCCCAGCTCTGCAGAATTAACGTCTTCTTCTGGTGAAGGAAAAGGCCAAACCCACCAGGAGTCCCCCCTTCCCACTGCCCTACTCCTTGCCCAGCTCAGCCAAAACCAGCAAGGGTAACTGTGCTCAGCAAAGGCTGACCTGCCCTGTAACGATCAAATCCCCAAACATCAGGGCTGGATCACTACCAAAAGGGATTGATATCGTCCTAACAGGAGAAATGGGTTTCATATTTCATAGCTCTTCTTGCAGATAAGAAAGACGACAACTTTCACGTGCAGCTCATCGCTGTTTTTAATGGGAGCTGGGCACTGGACCCCAGGGACGCCAGCCCACCGGCGCCAGCTCTAAGGTGTCTCATCTCCCCCCACTGCTCTCCCTGCCTCTCCCCTCCTCGGGCCACACTCACTTGTGGCTGTGTTTTGCCAGGAAGATTTGTGAAGTTTTGATGGCCTCAGAGACCTGCTCCTTCTTTGCAGCCAGCTCCTCATTCAGGGCCTGTCGGAAAAAAAACAAAAAAGAAAGAAAGAAGCTTAATTCAGTTGTGGGAAAAGATCAGAAGTTAAACAAACTGCCTGACAGTTGCCCCCCTGCTTACCTGCTGCTCCGAGATGGATTTCTCGATGTCGCCCAGCTCTCTGCTCCCGGCAGCCGCCGTCCTGCCCTGTACGCTCTGCTTCAAGCCCAGGGCCCAGCCCAGGAGCTCCTTCACCTTGTCCACATGCTCCTGCTTCTCCTCCTCCACTACTTTCTGCAAACAGAGGAGGGAGAAGATAACCACATCAAAGGGGCCCCAGATTTCCAAAGGCGGAGAAGGCTGTGGGGAGCAGCACCCGAGATGTAACCTGAACGGGGAGCAGCACCCTCGGGGGTGCTAGGAAACGAGCTTGCGCACTTTGAACAGAGTTCAGTTCCACAGAACACCCTTACCTCCTCCTCCTCCAGCCGCCGGAGAGCATCGCTGATGTACTTCACGTGCTGCGTGGTTAACGTTACCAGAGCTGTATAGCGAGTCCGCAAATCCATAAACTGCAAACGGAGAGAGGGAGAAACGGGGCGCATCAGCCACGACCAGCGGATCCGGAGCGACTTACTTTACAGTACATGACACGGATGCACCATCTCTCGCTTGGGAAGCCCCCAGGCACCTCGCAGACCCCGTACGGCATCAATGAAATGCAGCGAGTCTGACGGGGAGGGTTGTGGCCACACACGGCATGCTGCACAACACTGGAGCGAAGGGGAGACTCCGGTCACGGACACTGGGGCGGATGCTCAACTCTCACAAGAGGGCTACCGGGATCTTTCGTATCCACACGGAGCAGACAAGACCTTGGGTCCCTAAAGGTCTCATCCCAAAGATCCACACACAGTAACGCTGCATGGCGCTCTGGTTATTTACCTCGCAAGGCTGAAGGGCTGAGCCGACCCCGCTGGATTTGACCCAGGGGTTCCCAGGAGTCTAGGTATTTCATACCTGGTGCTTAGAGCACTAAGCCATCCTCTCTGGCTATTGGAAAAAACAGCGAGGGTGGAAACTTTATTTATACAAGAGAGTTCAGCAGAAAGGAGCTCATTTCACAGAGGCTGCTCGGCATCGAAGAACCCCCTGCACAATTTCTCCCTCGCAAGGTTGGGCGGGCGGGCAGCCGTGCTCCTACCTCCTGCGTGATGGCGTCCGAGGACGAGAGCATGCGCCGGCGTTTCATGGGAGACTTCTGCTGCGACTCGACAAATGCCCTGTACGTCATGAGCTGCAGCTCGTAGTCCTGCAAACGCAACCAGGGGTGGAGAGACATGGAGCATGCGAGATACACGCTGCGCTGCGGCCGCTTCTGCCCAGCCAGCCTTATCTAGGCGCAGGAGGGGACCCATACCTTGACGGCAGCTGAGTATTGCTGGGAGAATTTCTGGCACTGGTCCAGTTTGGCTTGATTTTTCTCAATTTCTGCAGCCAAAGCCTTCACCAGAATTCAAAGCAAAAACACTTGTCAGGACAGCTGCCGTGGGTGGTGAGCTGAATTTCAGTCCCCATCCCGCCCCTTTTGGGTAAAGTCTTTGTCCTCTTCAGTTTTTTATGCAAGGCCTCATCTCCCCCTCAAGATAAGCAGAGTTTCTCTGCTTCCCAGACACCCAGATCAGGTCTGCAGCCTCTTCCCCACTGTGTTTCATATTTTCAAGCTCACAGATGGAAAGATTTTAGAAAAAGAAAAGAAAGGGCATGGTCACTGCAGCGCCCAGGCCATGGAGACATCACAAGGTCCTGTCGTACCGTTTGCTGGCTCAGCTGCTCCGACAGCACCCGGCTGTCCTCCGCCTGCCCGGGCTTCATCAGCTCCTGCTGGACAGTGATCTCCTCGATCCACTGGATTAGGGCACTGTGGCACTGCCGGTAATCACTCAGCACCTCCTGGATGCTCTCCAGCTCCGCGTGGCTGAGAGAAGAACCAAGACAAATGAGAGGAGGGCGAAATGCCACTGCAGGCTATAGGGGTATCCCGGCCACCATCTGGACAAATATTGCTGCTGACAAGCCTGACCCAAGCTCTCAGCCGAAGCCTGAAAGTAAATCTGCAAAAGGAGGCAGGAGGTTTCTCACCGGGTCTCAATCTGGGCGCAGACTCGCTGCCAGCGATCCCACAGCTGGCTTCCCTTCTCCTGATAGCGCTCGAGGTCGATGCTGCGCTCTTGTCTCAGCCGGTACAGCTGCTCTCCCACCACCTTCGCCTTTGCCATCTCCTCCTCCAACGTGGAGAAGACGGAGCTCTTGTCCTTCACTTCCCCGAGCCATTGCTGCAAAACCAGCAAGAGACAGCACCGGTTCAACGCCATGAAAAGCAAAAGGCACATTAAGTTAGAGACACCCTCCTGCCCAGAGCTGACAAGCCTGAGAAGGGGTTTATCGTCCCACTCTCCTTAACCTGCAAAGATCTGGCTGATTATAGGAGGTACGAAATGGAGGGGACTGTGTTCCCAGCCTGGAGCGAGTCAGATTGGTTCAGCCCCTGTCCTACAGCAGCAGGACGTGTAGCTGCCAAGATGCTCCCGTGTGCCCTGCAAGAGGGAGCACAAGCCAGAGCAGCTCCTTTACCTTTACAAAGCAATAAGGGATCACATAAGCAGCACAAAATCCTGCCGGCAGCTATATCGAGGCAAGAAAAATGGCATACGGTACAAATTCAGTAGAGAAAAGGAAGGCCCCTGCTGGACAAATGGCAAAGCGTTGGCTGGTTTCTGCCGGCCCACCTTGGGAAGCGAACGGCACCAACCTGTAACGCCGCTCTGTGAGACTGAATAGCTGCCAGGTCGGCGGGGACTGCCTCCTCTTGGCTCAGCTTAACCTCGTACCCTTTGACCAGAGACTCTGCTCCTTGGGTGTTACGAATAATAACATCAACTGTCTTCAACCTGGCAAATCAAACAGAGGCAGCACAATGACATCCAAAATTTCGGCGAGATCCTCTTGATGGCGAGGCTGTTTGCACCGCGTGCCGCAAAGGGATGGAGCGCAGTGCACGGTGTGTTAGAGGGCCAGAAGAAAGGTCTTTAGCAGAGTCAGGCAGATACAAAAAGGTATTTAGGCACAGAAGCACATCCCGACTCACTTGTCCAGGTAGATGGAAGACAGCCCACACATCTGGTCCATCTTGTTCACCACCAAGTCAAGTTCGGAACGCAAGTGGGGCGTGCTGGACCCCGCGGGCGCCTTCTCGAGGAAGCTGTAGCATCTCTCAGAAACGAACCGCAGGTCCGATTGCAGCCGCTGCAGATCCTCCTGCAAGCGCTACGGGAGGAAGGGAAAGAAGGTGAAAGGAGAGCCCAAGCAGGGGGAGAAAAAGCCCTTGCAAAGGCGACGGGTATGAAACGGAGCAGGGAGCCCACCTGGAGAGGTTTCCTGCTACTTTCTGTGCAGGAAGATCCTCCCGAACCCCACACAGTCACGCACCCACCACCCACATGTTTACCCTGGAGAAGTTAAAAGCTATTTTTGGCGCACGCTAAAGACCCGTGGCCACCACCTCCCTCCCCTCCGCATCTCACAGCGGCAGGACTGACCTCCTGCTCTGCAATGCGGATGGTGTTCTCCTGGATAGTATCACCATCTGCTCGGGTGCTGCTTGGGGACTGGATCCGGCTCACTAGCCTCTGCTCACACTCCTCCAGGCGCAGACGGATATTCTTCAGCTCCGAGAGATACGTCCTGGCAACGGTCTCATCCTTGTCTTCTGCAAGTCACAGACAAACCAAAACAGCAGCTCAAACAACCTCGGCCGGTGTCTGCCCCAAACGGGACCTGCCGGGAGCCCCGGAGCCAAGTGCAGCATCGCACTGACACCGAGGTCTCAGCTTCGCCAGAAAACAAGTTCATCAAATCATCTCGTTCAAACGCAGCTGAGAATGAGCCCAGCCAGAGGGCACCTCGCATGGTGAAGCCGGAGTCCCCAGTCTCAGTGGCGCTCAGCCCTGCTGCGTCACGCCGGGAGCCATCCGCTGCTCTGAACAGCGGGACTGCGACCGCCACGTGTGTTCTCTTAGAGATTAAATGCAGGAAGAGCTCCTCGCTCAGAATACGTCCTGACTAATGACTAAACCCATCTCCAACGATATCAGGGTAAGAGGACTCAGCAGTTAGGCTGAAGCTGCAAAGCCGAGCCCTCTCTGCAGGAACACTGCTGGACAAGGGCCGAACGCTTGAATGGATGGAGAAATAAGGAGAGCAGCTGCCTACACCATCAACTAGCTAGCTCAGGAAAAAAAAGCAACTGAAGCCATCCCATAAATCCTTTGTTTATGAGTCCTCACAGCTCCTGGTTAATCCATCAGCCCTTTGAAGCTCACCGTTCTCCATGGACTCCAGCAGCTGCCGGATGTGTTCCTTGGAAGACTCCACTTCCTCCTCCAGGCGCAGCCGGTCCGACACCGAGAAGAGCTCCGAGTCGCGGCTGTCCTGCAGGAAATCCTCGTAGTGCGCCTGGAGGCTCTTCATGGCTTGCTGGCACTCCCCTTGTGCTAAGGACCGGAGCTGCAAGTGGAAAAGCAGCACATCTCACCAGTGGGAACAACTTCCTACACACCACTGAGGCCACCCTCCCCACCTTAATCACCTTCGTTTGCCAAGTGAGTATTTTCGCTTTAGAGGAGAAGAGACAAGCTCCTCCCTATCAGCCTTATCCTCCCTCCAGCCTTGCTCACTCCCTAATGAAACGCTAAGTCCGCAATCTCTTAGGCTTATTACAGTCCAGCAGCAAACTGCCGATGCTCTTTCTATTGGGAAAAACTGCAATCATTTTGCGCAGAACCCCCAAGCTCAGGTCTTCCCACTGTTCAAGGTGCACAGAGCCTTGACTTCCCCAACCTTGCAGTCTCTGGTCTTCCCTTTAACACCTCCTTTTCCCCCTCAGCCACATGAAGAAGTCCGGCCAGCGAGCAACGCAGCCCCGGAGCCAGGCAGAGGTGTTCCTGCCGTACCTTCTCCATGCTGAAGCTTTGCACCAGGGCTATGTCCTTCCGCAGGTAGTTCCAGGAGATGAGGCTCTTTGTGTTCATGTGGAGCTGGTGCCAGAGAGCCATCACTTTCTGGTACAACTGTTCTACCCTGCAAGGGGAAGGAGCAGATCCGTCAGCCCTGGATCTCCCCAGCACGCTCAGCCCTGACCCTGTTAATCCACCAGCCGTTGCTGCCAGCCAGCGGCCCATCAAGGCAGCGATCCCAGCCCGGCAGCCCGCAGCGAGCCATGCTCCTGCATGTCCAGTGCCAGCGATCCCTGGAGGGATCCCTCCTCCCAAATCATCGTTTTCTCTTTTGCAAGCTACTATAGCTGTTGCTGTGATGGAGTTGGCAGCTGTGTAACCACGAGGGATGCCTTCCCTCACCCCGAATCAGCTGTGCCACCCACTCCTATTCCTCCACCCCAGCTCCTCTCCCATTCCCACCCCAGATCTGTCCCCTCCCCTGCCACCAACCCCCTCCCCAAGCCCCTGCCACTGCACCTCTGGGACCTCCCCGCGGCAGAGACCCGCGAGTTACCTGCTGGCCATCTCAATGGCCTCTTTGTTGGGCGGGGGGATCAGGAAGCAGACAGAGGGCACCATGGCCTCGTTCCCCGTGGGACTGATCACCTTCCACTTGGTCCTCTGGGAATTGTCCTCCAGCACGCACTCGTCGTTCCTGCAGATGGTGATCTGCGGCGGCACCAACACCACCCGACCCGTCAGAAACCAGCAGCAGGGCTGCACACGCCTGCCCTTGCTGCCAGCTCCCCTCCTGGGGGCGAGCCAGCTTCCACAAATATAGAGAGATATATATTTTAATCAAGCAAAAGCCTGGGATAGTGCCAAGCAGTGCAACACGCTCACGTCTGGAGAAGAAGGGACAAGGAAGTTTAACAGAGTTGGCTACCACCCACGTGCTTATTTGGCTGAGGCTGATGAAGCCCATCCTCCCTGGGGAAAAGGGCTTTAGCTCCTGCCCAGAATAAATCTGAGACATGGAAATCAGCTCCAGGAAAAACAGCCGTGTTATTTCCCTCCTCCCATCTTCCCACTCCGTTCCTGCTTTCCATTGACAGACACCACATCCTAAACCATCACGGGCGTTGCTCCCCTGCCTCATCCCCGTCTTCCCTTTCAAAGTCACGCCGACACCCTTCCAGCCCTCACCTCGATCTGCCGATAGTCACAAACAGCTTTGATGGGGATCGTGCTCTTCACAAGGTGCTCTGGGTTCCTGGGCCGGAGCTGAACGATGCTTTTGGACCGTCCCACCAGGCTGGCAACGGAGCTCTTCGACTGAATGAGCTGCTCCTTCTCGTCCTGGCAGGAAGAAGGATGAAGGACAGGTTGCTCGAGGCAGGGGAGAGGAGGCCTCTCCCAGGCATCTCGGCACCCCCCACCCCAACGTTGGCCTGCAAGAGCTACACTGGGATCTCAAGGGCTGAACAAACACGTCAGGAGGATCCTGCTGCCCTAACGGGACGGGAAGAGGGGTCAGGAGATGGGATGGACGGGAGAACGGACTTCAGGTCGGGGTGGGACCTCTCCACTACTACTCCCACTGCCCTGCAAAGCCGCATGCACGCCTCTGGCTCTTTTGCTGCTAGGACAAGAAGACATTTTCTTTCAAAAGGGAAAAAAAGAGAAGACAGCATACACCAAAATTAAAGTCCCAGGAGGTGTAAGGGGCCAAGAGCAGGACAAGCTCCAGCCCAAAGCTGGGGACGTTTAGTTTTCTGGAGGAGAGACCACAGAAGCATGCTCCCTTTTCTAAAGCAAAGGATGAAGGCATGTTTAAACCAATGGCTGGAATGCGGATATGATGAATTATGCGGATAAAACAATCTCAGGAGAAGGGGCTAGTGGTGGAGTGATCGCACAGGTCTCTGGGTTTGGGTAGAAATTTGCCCGTTGGAGGAAAATGCTGCATAATTGAGTCCCTGCTGGGTTTGGTGATGGGACAACCCGGGGGACTGGTGGCAAAGCTCCCCTGGAACAGCCTCTGGCACCGATGGAGACGTGTGCGGATCACGACACTGGCAGCTCGTGTGATTAGTAGCAGCTCAGCCCATTCTGGCTGCAAAAGTTGAAAAAGGATCCCAGAAAAATGTTCTCCCTCATGCTTGGTACTCTCGGGGTCGGTTAGTGAGCTAACAACAGTGGAGGATAATTTAATGGTAGAAAAAAAAAAAAAGAAAAAGAAAAGAATAAATGATTAAATAAACTACCTGTGCCTGTCCCAGGGAGCATGATTGGAAGAAATACAACTTTAACTTATTAGGTAAGAAAGAGTAATATAGCTGAGCTCAGGGCAGCTGCCCCAGTCCTGAGATCGTGGCCACTCTCCGGCTGCCCGGACGAGCCTCTCCCACCCTGGACGGCGCCTGCCAGACTTCTGGTGTTGCAGGGCTCACAAATACGGACCCCAGGAGCCAGGCTGGCTGCTCCGCATCCTGGGAGCGTGGGAGGACAGACCAGGACGACCCCGAGACCATGACAGAGAGGATGGGACCTCCCAGGCCTCCAGGAAAGAAGACGGCGAGCCCTAGCCCAGCTGATGCACCCATCACGAACACCCAGTAACGGCATCCCAGCTTCACTGGGGACACGCTGGAAATCAGTGGTGTGCACTAAGAGCAAAGCCAAAGCAGCCACCTGCCTCCACACCCCCAAACGTCGCCTCCTTCCAGCTCCACCAGTGGCTCAGTGGTCAATCCACAGCCCAAATCCTCCCCCGTCCCTGGTTTCAAACACCATCTGATGCTTTGCTCCTTGGCGTTTGTTTTTAGGTTAGTTTTTTTCAGGCCAATTTGGACAAGAAGATCACAGCGCGATTGCCCATCATCTGCTCTCTGCTCCGCCGCAGCTAAGCCAGGCCACGTGTTCAGAGATCAGCGCTGCCGAGCCCCCAAGCCCCCGTCCCCGGCGGGCTGCCCTGGCTCTCCCCCCACCAGCACGGCGCGATGGATTAACGTGGGATTTGGTCTGGATAAAAAGCACGCGTTTCTCCGCATCCCACCCCGTTCCTAGCAAGCACCAGCTCAAAAGCAGACACAGGAGCACGCTACGGGCTCTGCGCGACACCTCCGTCAGCAGAACACGCCCGGCTCCATGCAGAGCAGGACGGCATGATGGGCACCGAAGGGGAAGAGCCAGCTCACACATCAAGCTGTGAGTTTGCACAGACAGCACACGCCACCTGCCCTGCACCCCGAGGATACAGAAAGATGCTGGACGGTGCCTCTAAACCAAAGCGACCCATCGGCTGTCATAACGACCGAGATCTGGCTACCATCGGCAGCGTGACATCCAGGCAGCGGTGCAGCACCCAGCCTGCACCCCATGGCCACGTACAAACACATGCAGCAGCTCCACCGAAAAGCAGAACATTGACCGAGACGAGGAAACGAACCGCGTTACATGAAACTGCGTTGCTGCGGGAATAAAAGGAACCCAGTTTTCCCTCGGAAGCAAGAGGTGCCCCAAGCAATGCTGCTGGACTGGAGCAAGAAGGCCAGCCATCGCCCGCCCAGGGTGGCGGGGATGTCGGAGAACCCACCATGGAGTCTTGCAGCAGGTCCTCCAGCCGCGTCAGGCTCGTGTTATGGTCGCAAGAATACTTCCTTTTGATGGAGTCCTGCAGGTTGCGCAGGTAGGTCTCCGACTCCCGGGCGTCACTGAAGAACTGCAAAGGCAAAGAAGGTCAAGGAAACCTGCACAAGTCCACCAAGCGGTCAGCAGCACCCAGCACAGCAAGGGACAACCCCAACATCTCAACCAGGAGCTCCTGACACTATTCTGGCCTTAGGGCTGCAAAGGGAGTGAGCACCCCACACAGACGGCCAGAACTATGTGGAAGTTGATCCCTTTTGCCCTAGCGAGACATCCCCAGAGAGCAGCTAAGGAGAAAGAGATGACTCAGGAGAAAGCAGCCCCCATGGGCACACACATCCCTCCTTCCCTCACCCCGAAGGGAGCAGCAGCGTATGAAGCTCATGCAGCGGGATGCAGAGGGTGGTGACCAGGGAAATTTGGGCTGTCCCTCCCAAGTACCTGGAAATAGGCGGCGTTCTCCTTCACGTGCTGTTCCACGCACAGGCAGAGCTGCTTAATCCACTGCCACTGACTCTGCACGGCAGCGCTGTAGGCCTGAGAAACACACACACCAAACGGGGAGGAATAATGAGCATTTACCAGCCAGGAGGGTCACGGGAAGGCCACAGCTACAGAGGCGCGATGTACACAAACGGGCAAGATCTGGCTGCAAGCAGGAGGCTTTGGACACAGGCACGAAGAGCAGGAGACGGCAGACCCTGGACCAGCGATGCCAGGGGCTGCAGCAGGCACAGGTTTGCTTTCTCCCACCCCAGAGAGAAACACCAGGGAGAAACATGTCCCCGCAGCCCTTTGCTTCACCACCATGGTTTTTCTGGAAGCCTGGATAGCTCCAAAGGAGCCGAGGCCATTCCCTGAACCACCTCACTGCAGGAGAGGCTCATGCTTGGGACAAGCGTATCTGTGCCTTAATTTGAGGTGAGGATTATTTGGGAATGGCCTCGAGCTTCTCATGGCACTCCCCAGAATAAAGCAGCTCTATCACTGCACTGATGTTCTTCTGCCACCATAAACCACTTTATCAGCCCTGGCTGCCCGTAAGGGATGGGACAGCAAGTTTCCCAAGCCTGGGTGAGAAGATTTGCTGCCAGCTGATTCTCAGGGCTCCTCCCGGCTCCTCCGCACAGCCGCTCACCTCTACGGTTTGCTTGGCCGGGTGGTTCTCCAGGGACAGCAGCTCGGCTGTGTCTTGGAGGGAGCGGAAGATGTCCTGCTTCTCTTCCAGCTCCGTCGTCAGCTCCTGCACGAAGGACACAAGCAAAGTCCAAATCTCGGCTACGGGGAGCAGCCTCACTCGGAGCAGGTGTCCGACCAATACAACAGGCGATATGGGAGCGCTGCAGCGAACGCCGGTGGATCTCAGGGAAACCAGCACGGCTTACGGGAGCACCACAGCCGGCTGCCATCAGGATGCCTCCTGTGCACCAAACACGCGGGGCAGCTGGAACGCAGATACTGGAAACCTGCCCGGGGACCTCTTCAGTTCCAGATGATTGTGGAAGAGAGCAATTTATTTATACTGCTTTAAAGAGGAATCAATTTTCCTCTTGAGCTCAGACTTTTTTTTCCCCTGCTAAAGATGCCTTCAGTTCCAAATAGTGCTAAAAAGACATCTTTTGATGCCTTTTTGATTGAAACTCAATTAAACAAACACTTTTTTGCACTTTCTGCTCTAGGGAGAGCTCTTTCATCAGCTGCACTCATGAGCTACAAGCTCAGGGACTTGGGAGGGAGCATCCAACCTCTGGGGACTTCAGGTCTGGCGGTAGCCAAAGGTCCCGCTGCGGACCAAAAGCAGCAGCAGCGCACCCAAGAGAGCCCCATCCCACCAGCCCTGCCCCGCGGTCACTCACCGAGAAGTAGTTTTTCTTGGCTGCAATGTTAGGGTTGTTGTCGCTCCAGTCGTAGGCCAGTTCCTCCTCCTCCTTCTCATTCAGCCAAATCAGCTCAGCGGTGGCCCGGGACACAAACCCGTGCAAGCTCTGGAGGTGCCTCAGCCGGAAGCTCGAGGTTTCCTGAACACAACGAAGCGTGATTCTTCTTCCCTGCTCTGAAGACGACCGGTTTCTTCCCCCCTCCCCAGCCTCGGAGCAGGGATGCTCAGGAGCAGGGCGGCAGGGATGGACCCCGCGCTCCCTGGGCAGTGCCATGAGCCCACTCGAAGCCCACTCACCATCAGCTTGCAGTACTGCGTCTCCAGCTTGCCAAGCGTCTCCGTGTAGCTAGCACGGAAATTCTGAGACATTTTACCCTGAAGGATGAAAAATATTCCTGTTACCCGACGCAGGACGGCATCCCTTGAAACCCCATCTCCGATCCTTTCTCCCCAGCTTTGCGGGAGCAAAAGGAGGTGCAGAGGATGGCTCCAGGGCAGCAGCCTCTTGCACCAGCCCAGCATCAATTCAGAAGCTCCATCCTTACAAAATACCTCTGCCCCAGGCACCTTTACCCACAAGAGCTGATCCTGACGCCCTGACCTTCCCGCACACATCGTGCCACGCACCGTGTCCCCCAGCCCGCACCACCGTACCTCGTACATCCGGGCCTCCTTTACGCTGGAGCCCAGGTCCTCCACGCTGGTGTGGACGTGCCGCTGGGTCTCCAGCTGGGTTTCCACGCTTGGCAGGTCGCTCCCCCACTCTGCCCGCTCCAGTCTCATCTGAAACAGGCCAAGAGGCCCAAGTCAGCACTCCTCATCTGCAGGAGCATATCTCAAAAGGACACGAGGGCAAGGAAACCTCCTACATCACTCAAGAGGGAACAAACACCACGCCAGTCCTGGTAGAAGGTCCGAAGCCAGTGCTCCACCACTGACTCATTTCTGGGACAGCCTTCACAAGCTTCACACCCACATAAGACCAAAGGACCGACTGGATCGGTACAGATTTGCTTCCAGCCTTGAAAGGATCTTCTGATACCCACTGAGCAGCAGGGTCACGAGAGAGAAAACCCAACTCAAGACAAAAGCGTCGGTGCTCTCCAGAAATTTTGAACCATCAAAGCAATTATTCACAGATAAAGGCAGAAAAAAGCCCAGACCAGCTTCCTACCTTCCCGCATCTGTGTGAGCGGAGGCAGGTAATTTGGCCCAGAGAACCAGCACTCACCTGCATTTCTTCCACCCAGGCCAGCAGCTCGTACACGAACCGGAGGCTGCCTTCGTCTTCGGAAGAAGAGATGGCCACCAGCTCTGTCCTGGTCATGGGCTTCCGGAACCAGGAGGCAGAGGAGGTGTGCAGCCCTTTCGTCAGGGACTCGCCCTTCAAGTGCGTCGTGCTCAGCGTGGACGTGGGCACCAGCTCCAGGGTGGAGAAGTGGCCTTTCCTGTACAGGTTAGTGCATTCCAGCCTCAGCGTCACCAGCTCATCTTGCAGCCGCATGATCCTGGAAGAGCAAGCAAGGCACGGGTAAGAAGATGCACGCACACTCCCTCCTTCCCCACAACAGAGCAGAGGAGCCCCGTCCATCAGCCCCTGACCACGTTTCTCCATCCACAGACCATCTCGGCATGGCCCTTCTCACCTGAACACCAGCTCCTCCAGCTGGTAGTAATTCTCATCCCGAAGGATCTGCACATCCACCTGCAGCTGGCGGATGAGCCCCTCGCACTCCTGCAGATACACGACCACGTCGGATTCGTACTGCACCGGCTGGCCCGACTCCAGGTGAGCAGCGTCCTGCACCAAGAGAGAGGAGGCTGAGGGCTGGGTCCCCCCGGCCCAGGCAGAGAGAACACGAGAGCAGCCCAGCATCAACTTTAAGACCAAAAAGACCTTTTGATCCACAAGAAGCTTGACTCGAGCAGAAGAACATGAGTTCATCGCTCACACCACACCGAGGACATCCCCCTTAGAAAAGCTTCTGCAGATGAACCGGAAGGTTCTAGTGACAGATGGGCTCCCGTGGTTAGTCCCATGGACAGTCACTTGAACGGGCATCTCATTTCTTGCTTGAGTTTAACCATTTTTAGCTCCCAACCCTTACATCTCTTTCTCCCAGAACAAAACACCCCTCTTCAGAAATCTACTCGCCACCCAGGTAGCTACAGTCTGCAACCGAGTCCTTTCTGCCCGTCTTTTAGACAAATAAAACAGATTTGGGGGTTTTTAAGCCTCATTATACAACAAACTTTCCCAGAACTGCAGTTCTCCTCCAAACCATCACCTCTGCAGACGTCCAGCCTCACTAGCTGCATCCCCGGAGGCAGCCTGCTGCTCGGCAAGGCCGTTCCCCTGCGCCCCTGTCCCCCAGGTCCTTGTGCCATAGATCACCAGGTATCCACCACCACCCCTACAGCCCCTCTGGGCCAGGCTCAACGTCAGAAGAGAAAGGAAAGCTGTCCAGGGGAACCCACCACCCCACGCAGAAGAGAGGGGAAGAGATGGGCATAAAAGAAGAGGCAGGAAAACAAAAAAATAAATAAAAAAAATAGGAGGGGGAAAATAACGCCCCCCACTCACAGCTTGCAGCGTGTTCTTCGCCAGAGTGAGTTTTTCTTCACAGCTCAGAGCACCATTCTGGATTTTGTTAGCAATTTGTAGCAGCAATTCCAGCCTGCGATGACAGAGAGAAAGAGAATGAGAGACAGGCTTTGGGAGGTCCCTCCAGCCAGGGCAGCAGCAGACGTCCCCGCAGGGGACTCTGCCTGCCACGGGCAGAGCACCGACCTCTCCACCGCCGGCCGCAGGAGCTTCTCACGCTCCAGCATCTCTATGATGAGCTTGCCCCACTCCTCCTCCACGTCGTTGGGGTGGTAGCCCTGGGGCAACTTGATGCGTCCAAATTCAATCCACACCTGGGGAAAACATCAACAGAATGGCATTTCCTACCTCCTCGAGCTGGTGAGAGAGATTACAGCGAGGAAAGTGGGGCTTTAAGGCAACAGCTCTGCCTCCGCTCCTGCAGCGTGCTGCTTGCTACATCATTTACCCTGAGGGTTATTTCCAGTTCTCCATTCCAAAATAAACCTGAACTGAGCACACTTCAGTCTTGCTAAAAGCACAACACTCCCACCTACAAGCCTCCGGGTAGCCATGATGATACTTACCTCTAACAGTTTGTAGAGCTCCTCTATCCTTCCTTTTTCCTGCTCTTTCGCTGGGATTTCAGTTTCTTTGAAGTGTATGTACTGGTTATAAAGTGCCTGGGATGAGAAAGGCTCATCAGAAACCATCCTGGGGAATGCCACCACCCAGCTCTCGGCGCCGAGCACATGGGACGCTGCGGATGGACCTTGTCCAGGACCTACCTTTAGCTCTACAGGGTTCTGGGGGAAGGATTTATCGGACATGAGTATCGTGTGCTGTTTGATCCACGAGATGAGGGACTCCACACGGCTCTGGTACTCCAGCCACCTCGAATCCACCTCCTGCGGGGTGAGAGCACCCTTGCAGAGCACTGCCGGCGGGCAGGTCTCCCTGGGGAAGAGGCAGAGCCCGGCCCTGCCGAGCAGAGCACAGAGGAAACCGAGGTGCCACGGTCACAGCTATGGGGTGGATCATCTGCCTCTGCCTCCCTGCTGTGATGCCATCCCAGGTAGAGGGAGGAGGAGGAAAATCTTCCTTGCAAGCTGCTCCCTGGAAGCCAGCTCAGCTTTCCCATGAGCTCAAACCTGCAGAGCCTGGAGGCTACAGGCACACCGGCAGTTCCCAGGGCAGACACACTAATGGGGAAGCTCCTTGCTCCACCCCGAGCCTCTTCCACCCGTTGGCCATCTGCTACGGCAGCCAGAGAACCTCCAAACTCTTCCCACAACAACCAGCTGCCTCCCAAATCACTGTCCCAGCCTCCCAACCCGCAGTGATGCTTACGATAGCGCTGATCCCTTCTCCTCCCTCGGGGACTTTGGGAAAGGCATCGTAGATGGAAGACACGTAAGTTATCACGGATTTCTCGTCCGGAGAGGGGACGTCCACATCTGACAAGGGAGAAGCAGAAAGGCAGTGAGGAATGGGAGTGGGTGGAGAGGTTGGCATCTCCCCATGCCAGATGCTTCCCCCAGCCGCTCACCTTCGGCATCCAGCAGCCGTGTGACCCCCAGCCTCTCGGCGATCTCGAAGGCCTGCTCCAGGTTCTCCCGGTTACTCTGGATCTGCACCCTCTCCATGTCCACCAGATCTGGCCTGCAAGACACGCGCCAGAGTCATGACATCGGCAAACAGCGCAAGGTGCCCAGGGCAGAGCATCCCAGATGGGCACCACTGCCCCGGCTGGCTCCCGAGGGCTCGTCCGAGCCCCTGTCCCAGGCTGGTGGCTCTCCGAGGGGCCCTGGCCTGCAGCAGCTCCCAGCTCAGCCCCTTTGGGACGGGGGTGGTCAGCCTGCGAAGGAAAGCTTCTCGTGCTCCTCTGGGACCTGCCCTCTCCAGCGCCCGCTCTGTACCCAGCATGACAGGCTGGGACCGCAAGCCCTCCCTGGAAGGAGGTGCCCGAAACAGCCCCAAAGCGAGGTGGTTACACCTCTCCGGAGGACGCGGGCAGAGCCCTTTGCCCGCAGCAGAGCGGAATGGAGGCAGCAGGTGCGGGCGCTGCCAACCCTGCGCCAGGAGGAAACACCAGCAACCGAACAACACCAGCGAGCCATGGCACAAACGAAGTGCAAACGAGCACAGCAGAGCCAGGTAAATCCCAGCCTCCGCGCACCATGCTGTCCCGGTGAGGTCCGCTGCCCACCACGCGCCCCATCTCCTGCCTGCCCCTGCCTGCAGGAGCTTTGCCTGTCCTTTGCTGCTAAACGCTGCCTGCTCCTCCCGAGCACAGAGCAGCAGGGGAAGGCCGTGCTATTTCCAGCTACCAGGAGATGCTTTCTCCTGGGGCCTTTGCTCTTCTCCTTCAGGCACTCCAAGCCGTGCCAAGTCCCCTTGACCAAGCAGCCGGGGCAGAAGCCGGCCCCAGCTCCAACTCGCTGCCTGCGCTGAGCAAACGGAAGGTGCGCAGGGCTCTGCCATCTCTAAGGAACTGTGGGAGGTTTAATTGCTGCTCAGGAGAGCTCCGAGATCCTCGGATGAAAGCGTGGATGGACGTGCTGCTATTCATGGAGAGCAGAATGGGCAGCAGTAACACGTAAAACACGGCAGCACTCCCATACTCTAGAGTTTAAAAGCTTTGCTTTTTTGCCTCTCCCCAGTCTCATTCAAGATGTTTTTTCTCGCAACCTGATGTATTTGCTGCTCTTTCCAAGCATCCACCCCCCAGCTACCTGGCAGAAGAGATGATTTCCAGTAAAAGAGCCCTTGCTCCCTGCAAGCCTTACCTACATCGCCAAGCACAGAGCATCACCAACTGTGGGCAGGGACCCCCGGGAGGCCCCCAGCCCCTCCTCCCACCCGGACGATGCTCTCCGCTGCTCCTTCCTGCCTACCTGTATCTGTGGATGAGGGCGTTGAACATCTTCCCATCGCTCCAGCATGACGAGAAGTTGGTGCACTTCACCCCGATGTAACCTGCCGTCACCTTCTGTGTCCACAGAAGCAGCTTCTCCTTGGCCGACATATCCCCCGACTCCCCGCTGATGTAGATGTCGGAGATCTGTAAGGAAGCGGCACAGCCACGGGGTGATGCAGGAGGAGGAATGAGCACCAGGCGTGTCCAGTTTCCATGAACTTGCCCGAGACCTGGCAGCCGCCAGGAAGGGCGGGAGGAAACTCCTGGTCACTGTGGGGGAGAGGGGACCCCAGAGCCGACAGACTTGGGAAGGGACCACGGGGCCTGCAGGAGGGCACCGGGGTGCCGAGGCGCGGCGTGGCTTGGGCAGACTGGAGATCCAGGCAGGCGAGGGAGGCGCAGCCATGGGCCAGCCCCATCTCACTGGGGCACGAGGTGCAGCTGGCACAGGAGCTGCCACTGCCGGCACCCGGCTTCCTACCACCACCGAGCTCACCGGAGCCGCTCCTCCGCCCAAGCTCCGCTCTCGGGAGCGGCTGGGGGCCCCCATTCTCCTTGCCCACAAAGCGCCCCCGTGCGCCCCCCCCCCGCCCGACCTCCGCTCCCGGGGGCGGCTCCTGCCACACATGCTCTGAGCACACCAGACAGCAGCGCTGTGCCACCGGCAGCCCGCAGCATGCCCCGGCGCATTACACCGGCACCGTCCCCCCCAGCCAGGGCTCGGGGCGCAGCTCGCCAGGAACACAACGCCCTGGCAAGACGGGGGCCCGGGCGGGTCTCTTCCCGCCCCAAACACACTCTGCCAACAGCAAGGCTTACGCACCCTCCTGTAGAACCCTGCTCGCTGCCCGCTCCTGCCCAGCACCCACCGTGAGGAGCCCCAGCACCCTCGGGCACCCGGCACTCACGCAGGAATGTCCCCATCCAGCAGCACCCGTGGCTGGGCAGTGAGAAAGCACCCAAGAAGGGACCACTGATGCCATCCCTTGCCGGGGCCGGCGTGGCGGGGGATGCTCTACCTGGAGAGCATCATGTAACAAAAAAAAAACCCCACCAAAACCAACTTAAGGAGTGGGAAATGGCGCTCGGAGGTGCTGTTTGAGAACACGCGTGGGGCAGAGGTCTCTCCTCGCCCTCCAGCCAGCGGAGCCGCTGGGAGCGGTGCCACCAGCTCCATCCCAGGGGGGAAAGGCAAGGATGGGGAGGAGGCTGTCGCGTTCCCCCTCTGCCTCGCCGTGCCGGGGGTGCTGGTGGCAGGGGTGCCGCGACCCACTTCCCCAACAAAAGAGGCCGAGGGTCACAGACCCCTCTTAGGCAGACGCGCAGGACTGGCTGCGAATCCCAGACTCGCACGTGACAAAACGCACGTGTCTCCGCATGCCAGCATATTTCTGACTGGCATGGCCTCCTCCTCGCCCATCCCCCCCCCAGCTCCCCAATTAGTACAATTACCTCCCCTTAATTAAGGGGCAGACAAAGGGGAGGACGCGAGCCTCGCGTATCTTCTGGGGTCCCTCTGGAAAGGCAATGCGGGCTGTTTGCTCGCTGGATTCCTCCTCCCGGCACTGCAGGGAGAAGGTGTGCCAGGACCCAGCCCCACCCGCCGCCCCTCCGAGCCCCCTCCCTCTGGAAAGGCAATGCGGGCTGTTTGCTCGCTGGATTCCTCCTCCCGGCACTGCAGGGAGAAGGTGTGCCAGGCCCCAGCCCCACCCGCCGCCCCGAGCTCGGCATGGGGAGCGGCGGTGTAATTGGTATGCTGCAGCTCACCTCCCTCTCCCGAGCCTGATACTCTCATCACACACAAAACTGCTCTTTGTCAGCCGCTGCCACACCGCCGGCACTGCCTTTAACTCCTCCAGCCCCGGGGCTGGGTTTCCTTAAGGATGCCGGGACCCGGCAGCAGAGCCAGGATGGATAGGGAGATGCACTGGGCGAGCAGCAGGATGGGACCCTCCATGCCTGCCGGGAGCAGGGAGGGACCCACAAACCTGCCCAGCACCCCCTTATTGATTACCTGACAGCTCTTAATTAAGAGCAGAATGAAACCTTCTGCAAACCCACCCATCGGCTGTGCCCCACCTGGGCTCTCCAGCACTGCTGCCCATCGGGGAGCTCCTCGCAGCACCCAGCTCAGATAAATCCTTTATTTTTAATCGTTCACACACAGCACCGGGGTTCTCCAACCACTGGGCCTCTCCCCAAAGGCACCCTTGCAGGAGACCCTCCTAGAGATGTGCTTACAGAGGCGCAGGATGCGGCACCAGCTCCACCCTCCTTTCTTCACATGCCTGTGTCAGGACAAAGATTTAGGGAGGCACCGGCGAGAAGAGAGAGCAGAAACTCGCAGGACCCGGGGCCAGCCCCTTCCAAACCCTTCCAACATCAGCCTTGCACATCAAGCAACTGGTGGCAGGACGCTGAAGGCCGGAGGGTGGCTGTGACACCGGTCCCAACCCGGCAAAGGTATCGGGGGCCACAGCCCCTTTCCTGCCCCTCCAACCTTGTGCAGAGCTTGGCCAAACCCAAGGGTGCCTTCAGCCCGCCCTGTCAGCCCCAAAGAGCGACCTCCAAACAGCAACGATGGGCTCCCAAAGCAAACACAGCCCCGTTCCCTCCTCTTCCTCTTGGAGCACCCTCGGAGCAGGCAGAGCCTCCACGTTCACCCGCTGCCGCCCGCCTGGAAGCTGCGTGCGGGCAGCAGAAAGGGGACACCCCGAACTCGCACCCGACCCAGCAGCCCCGATGGCACGCGTGCCACCACCGACAGCAAGCGCGCTGCCAACAGCAAACACAACAGCACCGAGAGCCCGTGTGAGTGCCGGCCGCACCCACGGCTCCGGCGAGAGCCGCTCTCTGGCCGCCCGTGCCGGGAGCAAAGTACAGGACAGGGTGATCCCCGGGGGATGCTTTCCCGGCAGAGATGTTCATAGGGGAAAAGGCTCTGGGAGCTTTCTGCACCAGAGTCCTCCCGCCTGCGCTCAGGACGAGGTTGCACCTTGCCCAGATGCGCATCCCCAGGGGCCACCGGGATCTGGGGTGCACTGAACCGGGTCCCCCACCCTGCTTCAAAAAGGGGGTGAGGGTACATGCAGACACTGACCATTCCTCCGTCCGTCCCTGAGCTCCCCCTCCGAGCCCAGCCCTCCGCAGCGAGCCTGCAGCTGCCTTCAGAGGGAGACGCCGCTGTCCCACCAGCTCCAGTGCCCTTGGCCGGCCGGCGTGCCGGGTCACTGCCGTACCCCGAGGAGCTCCGGGCTGCGCCGCCGCTGCGCCCGCTGAAGGAGGACGGGCTGCGGGAGGCCGGCAGTCCATGCCCATCTCCCTCCCTGGCCTGAGATGATGGCAACCCTGAGGTTCTCCCCATGCTGGGGTTTTCTAGCTGATCCACCATGGGGGACAGCGTAGACAGCTCCGAAACGGTGCCTGGCTCTGCCACAGAGGAGCAGGTCCACGCGACGCTGGAGCTGGGATCGTTGCTGCCTCCTCTCCCCCAGGCATCCAGGGCGCTGCTGGCCCCCAGCTCCCAGCTCTTCGCTGGCTCCTTGCCGGACACGGCGCTCACCGGGGACAGGAGCCCCTCCACACGGCCATCGGTCCCCCCGCGCAGGGGCAGCAGCACGGCCCGGCGGCTGCCCGCACCGCTCCTCTGCAGCTCGACCAGCCGGCTCACCGCCTTCTCGCAGTCCTTCTCGGCCGGGTTCTCCAGCAAGCGGGCGATGACAGTGGTGCCTTCCTCCGGGGAAGCCCCCGCCGCACCCAGCCGCCGGGGCTCCAGCACCAGGCGAGCTTTCTGCACCTCCCCCTGAAACCGCTCCTTCACCTGCACGATGAGCCCGGGGTGCAGGGCCACCGGGTTGGGGTCCCCCCCGTGATGCCGGCTCCCAGCAGGCTCCTCTCCTCCCTCCTGCTGGGGGGATACCTTCGACTTCGGCACCTCCTCATCCTCAGCGACCTCCAGGGCCGGGGGCTCCCCCTGTGGGGCTGCCTCCGGCATCGCTCTCCTCTTCCCCCTCCGTCTCCGTTTAAAGCGGACCCTTTTTTTGGGAGACAGGGGTGCCTTTCCCGCAGCTTTTTCCTTCGGCTCTTTAACACAGCCCAGAGAATTCCCCATCTCCTCCTCGGTGCCGGCAGCAACGCAGCTAAGCGAGTCGCCGGCTCCCAAATAAATCCCGAGCCGGGCTTCATCGGATCAAACGCACGCCGTACACCGTGCCGCGGACTGGCCCTCGCCTCCGCTCCCCCCCGCCAGCCCTGCCGCCGCCGCTCCAGACAGCCATCTTACAGCCTGGGCGCTGCGAGAAGACAAATTCAAAGCATCTCACTGCAGTTCAGAAATCACTTGACCTAAAAGCAGAGGGAGCGGGGATTGGCTGCGGCGTCCTTCTCTCCAAATATGAGGTAATTGGAGCACGGCCCTCGCCAACACAAACAGGGAGCAGGAATCAGGCAGCGGAGCGGGGAGGGGGAGGAGGAGAGGCTGGGGAGGTGGGGGAGATAAAAAACACAAAACCCGGAGAAGGTTGGCAAAGGTAGCATAAAGGAAGGGGTGGGAAAGAAATGGGGGAAAAAAAAAAAAGCAGGGAGGAGTCAGAGCGGCTCTGCATGCACGCCAACGGGGACGCGGAGCCGTCGCGCCGGCTCCCGCAGGGGTGTTTCTCTCCAATTCCGGAGGTTAGCTCCTTAATTCTCAATGCTGAGAGCCCCAAGAGCCCGGCTCATATGCCCACCCTCCTGCCAGGCTCACCCAGCTCGGGGCACGGAGGGGCAGCCCAAGGTGCCCTGGGGAGCCGGCATCGCTTCAGGGAGCCGCAGTCGCGGGGTCCCACCAGGCTACGACAGCGCTGATCCTCCCGTCCCAGTCCGGCCCCATGTCCTGCCTCTCTCCTGCAGCTCCTGCCCCAAACTCCACCGAGGGCAGAGGTTTGAGGAACATGCAGCACCCTGACTCCTCTCGCCAGCTCGGAGGGACCAGAGGAGGGGAACACACGCCAAAAGCAGGGACAAGACAGAAAACAGGGAGCAGGGGGCACTGGCCCACCCCGAACCCCTCCCCAGGGCTCTCCCAGCCGCCTGCCCCCAGGCAGCGGCACTGGGACAGGGGAGATTAAGAGGTTGACAATGGAGCTACCACCGCAGAAAAAATCCCCTTAGCGCAGGCGGGGAAAGGACGCGCAGGCTCGCCGGTACCAGCCCAGCTCCCCTGGGGGCCCCCCCACGTCACCCGCCCTGTTCCCCACGGCAGGGTGGCAGTGTCCCCTCCTAGTTGGGTGCAGAGGCGATCCAGGAGCTCCTGCCTGGGCTCTGCCGTCCCCTCTCTGGTCCCCTGCAGCAGAGCACGCACCAGAGCAGGGCCACCCCGAGGACAGCGGGGACAGGATGCCACCAGCCAGGGCCCCACCAGAGACGACGGTGACTCATCAGCATCCAAACCCTCCTCGACCCTGGCTGCTTCGCAGGGCCAAAACACCAGCAGAGCGCCTCAGCAGCAGCCTTACACCCAATTTATCCCCGTGCTCCCCCCCAAAGCCTCTTCCCGAGAAATACAGGTCAGGAGGGGCTCACCCAGCGCATGGGGCCAGCCTGGCTGCGCTGGCACGGGGCACACGCATGGCCCAGGCGAGGGGGCAGCTCCCCGGGGCATTGCCCACTCATCCTCCAAAAATGAAAAGCTTCCTTACGAGGTCTCAAAGCCAGCGCTAGTCTCGCCTGAGAGACACCAGCAGGGATACGGCAGGGAGCCGGGACGCGGCAGCTCCCAGGGGTTCAGTCCCACGGCGGTGGCGGTGACGGCCCCAGAGATAATGTCACATCGCTAACAAGCTGCTGGCAGCAGCACCACTGAGCAAGCCCCATGTGGCAATGCCATGGTGGCATTAGGGGCCACGTGTCGTCCCCCTGAGGGCATCAAAGCTACAACCAGACAATCTGAGGCTATCAAAGACCCGAGACCCTGTTTTGCAAGAGCATCTATAGGACACGATTGCTGGAGACGGTCCTAAGTGCGTTCCCCAGCACCCCAGCTGGGCCAGAGAGCTCCTCCCATCCCTGTCCTGACCCGCTGTCGCACAGCTGACATTAAAAGATCCCATGGCTGTGCCGACCACCCAAAGGGCTGGGAATGCCTTGGGATAACAGCCCTGCACGGGCACGAGCTCAGCCTGTCCCCTCCGCGGCCCCCTCCAAATTTGCTCTTCTCCTCCAGAGACTCAGCTGAGCAAACAGCTCCCGCCAGCAACCCTGGTGCCAACTGGGAGGCCACCGCACACAACCCATCATTAATGATTTCATTATGTAAATGATGAGAAAAGGGCGTTGCTATTCCCCGACACCGGTCTCCATGACACTGCAACGTGTGTTGATCCTCCAGACCGATCTGCGTGCCGGCATCGCCACAAAACGCGTGCACGCAGAGACAGACGCCAGCGCCCTGGGGAGACAACGTGCTCCCACCGTCCGCCCCGTGTCCTTCAGCAAGAAGCTCTCATGACCTACCTGGAAGTGGAGGATGATCGTCCATATGAGCCCCAGGGTGAGCTTGGGGTTGCCGTCTGTAATGTCATCATTGCGAATGTTCACCAGTTTCACCTGAAAGAGAAGCAACAGAGTCAAAGCTCCCCATCAGCCTCACCCAGAGAGCGTGGGGGGACGTGTCCCTGACCACGCCGTCCCCAGGGCCACACCAAAACGCTCCGGCAGGGAGGGAGTGGACACGCGTGACCCCAGCGCTTCCCAAAGAAGTGGCGAGGCCACCCCATGCTCCTGCTCAGGGATGGGGAAGGAAGGATTTTTCACATCTCTAGCACACTCTATCTAGAAATGCTTTCCCAGCACTTAATGGCTTTATTTCAGCTCACATGGAGAAGTGCCTCGTCCCCAAAGCCCTGAGCGCTAGTGCATAATTTAATAGCTACAGACCAGAGCATGGTTAAAAGAGGACGGCCGAGCTTTATTAACCCCCTCCTGGGTTCAAAACCAAGCTGCTAATCAATCAGCCCTAACAAAGGCAGAAGCGCCAGCGCTGCCCTCACTGAGGGCCCTTCCCCAGCACCCACCGAAAGCCCCTGTCCCGGCAGACTCCGGCCCCACGCAGTCCCAGAGCTGCTCCCTCCCAGCTGCTTTGCTCTAGGGCTGGTTTAAATGCATGTGCAGTCCCTGAACCCCATGGAGATGCCTGCAGCACCAGGAGCACCAGCCTCAGCGCTTCCAGCAGATGCAAACCGGAGCGGTGCTGCCCGGCTGCTGCTCCTGCTCTCCTTGCAGCCGCCCTCCCGGGAGCCACCACGTTCTTTGGGCTCTCCTCCCCTGGTGGGCTCCCCACGGGGGTGTCCCCGCTCCCCAACACTCAAGGAGACCTCACAATCTCTAGCAGGAGCATCTGGGGTAAGATGTCCCAGCAAGGCCGCTGTCACCAGGCCATCACACTTCAAAGGAAAAAGCTGTTTCATCCAAGTAGAGAAACAAGCTCCCAAGAGCCCTCGGCAAAATGTCTCTATCGAGGGGCCGGGGAGGAGGAGGGGAGCGGCTCGCCCTCCCTGGAGTGGGGCACGTGCTCAAATTTATTCAGTGCCCTCAGGCCAGCAGAGAGAGAAAAATCTCTGCTTCAGCATGAACTGGTACAATTTATCATCGTCTTGGCGTTATCCGAGGAGCATCACGGCGGGGAGACCTGACCCAACAGGCGGAACAGGACACCCGGCTGCGGGGGTTTCACCTGCAGAGCCAACAAGTTTCGGGATGCATCCCACTGCTCCGGGCGGGATCTGCCCAGGGGTGTGGAGGATCCCTGGTCTCTGCCAGCTGCACAGGCACTGCGGGGCCAGCACCTCCCAAAAGCTCGGCAGAGGGAGCCTGTCCTCAAAAAGCCAAAGGGCGATGTTGCCCTGGGCAGTACGTCCGTGCTGCTGTCCGGAGGGGCGATGCCGCACACAGCCACGCGGCTGTGCGAGCACCGAGGCCGTGGCTGCATGGGGCTGAGCAGGACCCAGCTACCCCATCTCCCCTGAAGCTGGTGGGAAGGCACGGACGTGCCACAGCCGCCCGTCCCTGCCGCCGCGATCTGCCGGGAAGCCCTGCGTGAGGCTTTCGGGGTGCAGAAGTGACTGTCTGTGACATTTGAAAACCCTTTCCCAGAACTGGAGTCTGATCCTTCATTTTGATACTGGTTTTTGTGCTGCATGGGCGGTTCTGAGAGGACACAACGCCTATGGGGAAAAGTCCCCTGACAGCCGTCCTCAACCAGCACCGGCACCGCGGGGTCGGGCACACCCCAGCACAGGCTGATGCTGCTTCTCGACACCCTTCCCAAGCCCCGACCAGGAGAAAGAACTGCAAAGAACCCAGCTCTACTTCTGGATGAGCCTAAATCAGCCCTTACCTGTCGCTGCTTCAGGAAATCCAGGGCAATCTGCACGTTCTGCAGCCGGTGGAAACGCATCCGCCCCTTCTCACGCGGCTGCAAGAGAGAGGCGGCAGCGTCAGGTCAGGCTCGCGGGGCCGGGCCAGCAGCACCCCACATGCACAGCCACCCCCCACATGCCCCCGGGAGCCGCCCGGGGCAGCCCCCCACACTCAGCGTGCTGGTGTGACCCCCCGTGCACTCCATCCACCCTGCTCTATCTTCTTTGCTCTGGAGGCAAATAAAGTCATTGCTACGCACGATCCACCTCCTCTGAGTGCCAGGAGACCCCAAGGGTCCATATCCAGGCTCTGAGCCGGGCGCTGCACGGCTGCCAGCAGCAGGCAGGATTGGCTCAGCCTCTAGATCCCAGGGCAGGATCTCACCCATCCCATGGTCAGCCAGACAAACTGGGAAGAGGGCTCAGCAGAGAGATTCACCCAAGCGGGTAGGGAGTCCGACCCGTCCAGGTGGAAGCAGAGCAGATCTGCTCCACAGCAGGATGTGAGGACCCGGGCAGGGACCGGCTGCGGGTCCCCACTGATGGCAGAGAAACCCCGACCTCGGCACCGGCCCCTGCAGACCCGGCTCAGCTCCTCCCGTGTGCGGGCAGGGGCCGCTGCTCCAGGTGCCATCTCTGAACTCGTTGGGAGGGGAGATATGAGACGCCCTGGGCTGTGCTCATCGCCGCTGCCGCAAGCAGGGGATTTTCCGAGGTTCCCGGCAGCTGAGTCGTGGGCCAGGGGGAAAGAGCAGGGGAAGGGCTGGGTGCGCAGCTCCAACCTCCGCACAGGAGCCCGGCCAGCTGGCGTGGGATGCTGGGTCTGCTCCGAATCAGCAGGAGGGGGAGGATCAACGCCCAAATCCCAATCTGGGCCTCAACAGGAGGTGCCACCAGGGTGCTCTGACCCGCAAGGACACCTCTGAGGCACCTTCCTTCCCCAGCCTGAAAGGGAAGAGCCATCGCTGCAGGGGGAACGTCTCCACGGCTGCAGGGGACCGGAGCTCCTCCTGCGCTGCTCCAGGAGGGAGGTGACACCGTGTGCAAGGGATTCGTCACCCAGAGCAAGGGGGCTGGAAAACACACCTTCTCTTGCACCTCAGCAAGGTTTTGGGGTCCAGCCCCTCTGGGGTAACCCTCAGCTGGGGCCGCACTGTGCTTGCTCCCACCTCCACTCACATGCACGGGGTTGCCAGTCGTGGCCCGGACCCCACGGTGGCACCAGCCCCACAAGAAGGTGCCCGTGCCCAGAGCCTGTCCATGCAGTGCGAGGTGAGCAGCCGTCACCGCAGCCCCCCAAGGGGGCCCGGCCAGGAGCAGCGTGCAGGACCCGCGTCCCTGTCCCCTCCCGCCCCGTGGCGGGGACACATGCTGTCACACCAGGTGGGTGGCGTGCCCTGCCCGCAGGCCGACACCGCAATGCACGCGCAGATAATCCAGTTAACGTGAACACAGCCCGCTAACAAGGACCGTGGCACCGGGTGCCTCTCCGCTCTTACAGCTTCCCCTCCGCAGACCCTCGCTCGGGGCGCGTTGGGTGGGTTTTACCAAAAACCCCGGCTAAAACCACACAGAGGAGAAGGTCGGAGCCCCCGGAGATGCTGGGCTGCACTGGACTATCTGACGGCACTCCAGTGTCCGCCAGGGATAGGCTGCGGCCGGGGCCAACTCAACCTACTTCTTCATCATCATCATCTTCCTCCTCACGCTCTTCACTGCTTGCACGGCACCAGGCCGGCGCTCTCACCAGGCGAAGGCTCCTCTGAGCTGGCGGCTCTATTTGCTAACGAGGACGGGAGGGACAGCGGCGATGGGAGGGTGACACAACAGGGAGACAGAATGGAAACCAAAATGCAACACCCAGGTAAAAGGAAAAACAAAAGAGTGGGGATGAAGGCGGCTGGATCTCCGGCACACCCCGGGCTCGAGCACGGAAGTTTTCCCTGCCTTTGAAAGCCGAAGTGAAGAGAAGGAAACTGTCTGGATCACAAATAGCTCGATCCAATTTTTCAGCCCCCACAAAAACTGATTTGGCATCTTGGGAGGGTAACGGAGGGAGTTGGGAGATCTTTGCCCAGATCCTATTTTAGGGGAAAACTAAAATAATTCCTGCTAAAACTGCTGTGCTACCCTGCTGCAGCATTCAGGATCTTCCCAGAGCTGAGTGAATGTGTCAGTCTGAGAAGGAGGAGGAGGAGGAGGAGGAAGGAGGGGGACTCTACGATGCTCAAGATGCAGGAAGAGGTTTGCATGCCACCAACTGCTACAAACCCAGCTCGTGAAGAGCCGAGCACGGGGCAGGAGCGAGGAGCGTGCCCTCCGCCAAATCTGAGCTAAGCTGCTGGGCACGCTCTCACAGAAACAGTTGTAGTCCAAGCCACTATTATCCGTTATTTTAAATATGGAGCCAAATCTAGAAGATGAAGGTGTGTAAGCTTTCACAAAAAGAGGGCTCTACCCAGGGCACCATAACCTTTAATCACTCGCTTTGGTGGTATCCAAGAGACCAGCCTGGGGAGCGCAGGGTTGAGTGAAAATAAATAAAATAATAATAAATAATAATAGTAATAATAATAAAAGAAACAACGACAGACATTCGAAAACAAAACTACGGCATAAGAAATGACAGCTGATGGCTGGGAGCAGAGGGGAGCAGGGGGAGGACGGAGAGGGGCTCAGGGCGGGCAGCAGCGTCGCGTCCCGGCCGTGGGGACTTACCAGCTTCACTCCCGACAGCACCTCCAGGAGGGAGATGAGGTTGTGGCCATCTCGCAAGTCTTCGTAGAGGTCGTTGATGTGCTTGCGCACCTGCGGAGAGCCGGGGAGGAAAAGCCATCAGATCCACGCGTCTCCTGCGCCCTCCCGCTGCTTGCAAGAGCGCGGGAGGAAGGCAGCCGCATCTGCAAGCAGACGTCTCCCTCCAAGCCGCGGGCATTTAAAAAGGTTATTTCAGAATTATCGCTAAGGAAAGCAGCCTCCCGTTTCCCAAATGACCTGGCAAAAGCTGCTGCCAACGTTACGCATGAAAGCAAACTGTTAAACCATCCGTACTCCAGGCAATCCAGGAATATCACTCTCAGACCTCTGCAGAAAGGGCAGCTGAGTCCTGAAGCATTGGTTTAATTGCTTACGCTACCTTACAGCGTCTCCCAAAACACGGCACCCAGCTGCCATCCGAGAGCAGAGGGGGTTTCTGCGGGGCAGCGCGGCTGCGAGAGCAGGCTGACCGCAGGCAGCCT